TTTTTTTTTTCAACTTTTTTAGTGAATTTTCTGTGCCTCTTTGAATACCACTTTCACTTGTCATTTCATTTTTAATGCATTTTATGCTGCAACATTTGCACAAAACGCATATTGTCACAACCCTGTTTTTGTGTCTGTGTATGTTCGTGTATGTATCTTACGTGTATGCATTTCGAACAGGTATGACTCCAGAAATTTAAACTCAGCTTTCACTTACGTCTGCGTCTCAGGTATCACAAGAAAATTTTGGTGGAAAAACTGTTAACTCAGGAATCACAAAGCTAGGAAGCTGAAATTTCAAGGAGATGTTTTCCATCTACGTACGACTCAAAAATTTTAGACCCAGCTCTCACGTTCGCCCAGGTCTCATGTATGGGCACGTAAAAGTTTTGGTCAGTCAGAACACCCTAACAATTTCTGGGCATACTGAGCAGTAAGGTAATGGATATTAACAGCAGTTGCACAAAATGCATGATCGCACCAGCTGTCCTCTTGGGCATCGCTATTTATTTGTTCGCACAGAATAACCATGCTGAAAACTCTCTTCTTCTGTGTTCTTCCTCTGCTCTTTACGAGATAACCAGTGATCGAGCGGTACAGATTAGGTTCCAGATAACAGCACTGAGAAAATGGGATGTTTCGAATGCCTCCTCTCTCGATTTATTAAAACGAATGAGGTTTTGCAGCATACGTTTGGCGGATTGCTATATTGATGCAATTGTTGCTGGAGTGGATGTTGTGGGTGAAGCCGAAACTCTGAAAAAACTTATTGTTGCACCGTTTTCGAAACAACCTTTGAGTCTTATTGTTCACAAAATTGGGAAGACATTACTACTGGACAACTGTGCTTACTTGCGAAATGTAATTCTTTTCAATTTTTAGAGCACCACATGAATTATTAACTGGTAGATACATGCATCCATGCATTTTTTTAAATAGTATCCTTAATTTGCGAATATCGTGAAAATTTTGTTAGAGTAACTAATACTGGCGATCAGTATCGTTCTAGGCAAGACGGCTCTGGACGGGAGAAATCTCAGTGACATCGAGAGCTCCACAAATGTTTTCGTGACGATGTTGTGTAGTTTCTGCTGATCTCTAGAAATGCACAGTGTTTTCTGTGCCATTTCAAATGCATTTTTTAAAAGCCAAATTGAGATTTATGCTTTAATTGCATTCTGTATAAGCTTTGAATTTCTGTAAACCGACCTTGGCACTTCATTAAAAAATTTTTTTCAAATTTTACTGGAGAGATGAAATTCTTGAAAAATCCCAAAAATCTCGAATTCTTAACCGGTTTTTTAAATTAGGAAATTGTTGCCAGAACACTGTGACCGAGATTGTTTTTATTTTTTGTTACCTTTATAGTTTTCGTACAAACATGCGAGTAGTCGTGATTCACCTGTGGCCGAATTTATCAACTCGACATCACGGAGCCTTATTGGTGGCACAGCTTATGCTCAGTCAGGAACACAGCGCACAACTGACGACATAATTTCCGACTTACATCGTGAAATGATCGCGGAAAATTTGTATACTCGAAGGTTGGTTGCTAAACGAGGGCAGCCAAGTTTTAGGATAGTCGGGCTTTTTTGCAGTTTTGTTGCTCTCTAGATCTGGCGTAGGCGTTTACTGTAGTTTGTCAAAGTCTAGCTCTTCGATCTAATTTGGAGGTTTTTTTTTTTCGCATTTGGCAGTCTTACAGGGAAATTTTATTCGCCTTCCCTCGGTTTATCGTTTCACTGTTTGATTTCCCTAGTTAAAAGATCACTTTTTATCCTGTTTGATGTACTTTGGATTTATGGGCATTATGGAATTTGCAACAAAATCATTTTTTCATAGACTGCTTTCACCCGTTTTTATCGGACCTTCAAAGTTGTTTTGACATAATTGTTTATCCATGCAGTTTCAGCTTGGCGCCACTGGATTATAAACCGGGCTCAGAATGTCTGGATGTTCCGAAACAAGCTCATCCTGGTTTGTTTTATTCAACTGTATTTCAGTATTTTTATTCGTTAAGCTGAGTGTTTCTCTTATGTCATACTGACATACAAAAGTTAAAATAGCGCAGTTGTTGGCTTTCCCTCACCGTGGAAGCCAGTGACCAAGAAAGCTGAAATTTTGTGAGAGTGGCGAAGTTTTTTTCGTATTTTATCACTTATGAAGGAGCTTTCGGAACTTTTTACTCTTCACATACGTGCGAACACTTGGAATTTGAAATTGCTAAGGTGTCGGAGTTCTTCCATTCCAACAGCCAGACTGGAAATCTGAAGGTTTTTGAGCATTGTTCACAGTCGCGCACAGATTTTTTAATATCTAAAATCAACTTTGAGTTCCTCTTCCTTCTCGCATACGGACAAGTGAAACTTGGAATTTTAAAAATTATTGAATTCAGTAACCAGACAAAGTACATTCACACAGAAAAAATGTTCGAAAATCCTT